TCGCGCAGGCTCAGCGGCCGTGGCTCACGGGCCCAGCCGCTCCACGGCATGTGGGATCTTCCCAGACTGGGGCACGAACCCGTGTCCCCTGCATCGGCAGGCAGACTCTCAACCACTGCGCCACCAGGGAAGCCCTAGAGTTGAAGGTCTTTTAAGAAAACAAGCATAAGGACTTCCGTAGTGGTCCAGTGGTTAAGACTCCATGCTCCCAACGCAGAGGGCACAGGTTTGATCCCTGGTCAGGGAACTAAGATCCCGAATACCACATGCCGCATGGCTCAGCGAAAAAAAAAAAGGAAAACAAGCGTAATAATCTCAGACTGTGATTGCTGCCATTAAGGAAATAAATAGATAACAAGACAGAGAACAGCAGAGGGGCATCTGTGTAGATAGGCTGTTCAGGGAAGTCCTTTCTGCAGAGCTGACATTTCAGCTGAGTTTGGAAAGATAAGGATTTAGCCATGCAAGAGCCCAGGGAAGAATTCCCGGGATAGGGAACAGCAACATGCAAACGTTCTGAGCAGGAAGGTGTTTGGTGTGTTTAAAGTACTGAAAGGAGGCCAAGGGGACTGGAGCAGCTGAGTGAGTTGCGGGGAGATCACAAGGTGATGCTGGGGACAGATCACATGAGCTTCTCAGGCATGAAGCCACATTTGTAGCCTTTATCACTCAAGCCATCGTCCTGCCCTCAGCCAGCTAGGGTCCCCGCTCCCAAACATCTTCTCTACTCCACTAGGCAGATGGCCGTTTCCTACATCACTGCCACAACCGCTGCGGTGGCCACTGCTGTGGGCATGAACACGTTGACAAAGGTACCGTCTGGGGTTGCTGTGGGCATGGTGGCCACTAGGCGGCAGCAAAGTCCTAGGGAAAACTTTTTTACCAGGCAGGGGCCGTTTCTGGTCTGGATGGGTTGGGTTTGGCCAGAGCCCAGCCAAGTAGTGGGAAATTCAGCAGGGCTGCGCCCATTTGGTCTTTCTCGGGCCTTTGAGGGAGTTTGGGTTCCCCGACTGGGTGTCAGGATGCGTGGCAGTAGCGAGGGCTGATTTCTTGCTCTATCTTCCTGAAGCCCCTTCCACCCCCATCTCCAGGGAGCCTGACCTACTTCCATTGTTCTCTTCTCCCACAGAGAGCCCCGCCCCTGGTGGGCCGCTGGGTGCCCTTTGCCGCTGTGGCTGCGGCTAACTGTGTCAACATCCCAATGATGCGACAGCAGTGAGTACAGGGATCCCTTTTCCTCCCTACAGACCGTGAGGCTAGCAGGGGAAAGGCAAGAAACCAAGGCAGTGGAGGGCTCGTTGGGGCTGAGGTGGGTGTGGGGAGGGCGGCCGAGCTGCGCTTCTGAAGGTTCCCTGAGGACTGGCGGCTCCAACAGTGACGGCTGCAGGAGTGGCAGGTGACTTAGGTTTCATCTGTGATGTGTGTTGTGGGTGATGGGGAGCAGGGGTGGGGCGTTAGTGAGGACCTGTGGGGTTTGGCACCAGCTCATGTCCTTTCAACTGCAATTGTATTTAAGTTGTGGACTCGGCCTACTTCCAAAGCCCTGGGGATGCCTTACAGAATGAAACGCAGCAGAGCGAGGTGTCCAAAGATAGAACAGAACCAAGAAGCTTTGAGGAAGCCAGAGGGGCAGATAGATGTTTTCCAGGCACCAGGCTCTAAGCGTCACAGCAGGAAAGGTGAAAGGAGAAACCTGCTGTGTCTCACAGCTCTTGTTTCTTGACTAGAGAAAGTATAGATGTTCCTCTGTTATAAAATTTAATGATATAGTAGAGGTAAAGCGCCCCAAATAGCGCCTGGACTGTAAGAAAATGCTGCATTAAGCGTTAGCTACTGCGGCCCCTGTTTCCATCAGTGCCTTCCTCGTCATCACCAGTATCTATAAGGCACATTTTCTTGGGATTAGTAGCAAATGGAAAGTGATCACAACTGCCCTTGCAGAAAGAGTACACCACAGAATAGTCCTGCATGCACACTGCTCGCCTCCTCTCCCCTCCCGCCACCCCCATCCAGTTGCTCCTTCCAACGAATGAATGAGTCCCCACCACCCACCTGGTCTTGGATGGAGTGCTATCAAGCACTGGCCTGAGACCAACAGCTCCTGTTTGGGAGCAGTCACTGTGTCAGGCACTGGACTTAGCACTTTGCAGGCATTATCTTGTTTCATCCTCACCAAGTCCCATGAAGTGGGTGCCATGATTATCCCCATTTTGCAAATGTGGATAACTGTGTCTTTAGAAGGATTAGGGAACTTGCTCTGCAGTTTCTGGATTCAGCCTAGGCCGTTGGGGCCCAGTGCTAGCTCTCTGAGCCTCTGCCCTAGGTCACGGTTGGATACCACTCTCTGGAGTGGGGAAGGGTGCTCCAAGGGCCAGCTGCAGGAGGTGGCTTCCTAGAGCTTGAGTGCCCTGGCCTTGGTCCCCTGGTGTGTCACATCGCTGGCAGGCTTCCAGCACCCCTTTCCCACATCCAGCACCTCCTGTCTGTGTTTAGGGAACTCATCCAGGGCATCTGTGTGAAGGACAGGAACCACAATGAGATTGGTCATTCCCGGGTGAGCAGAGGCCTGCCTTTGGGGTGGGAGGAGGGAGTTCCCTCTCAGACCCTGTCCTGTGCTTCGTGGTCAGAGCAGGCCTGGGCTCTACTGTAGGGTTGAGAAACCTTCCCTGACTCCATCCTCCTTCCCCATCGATTTTCCCTCCGTATCTCTGTTCATGTCTTTTCTCCATCGTTTCTGGTCCTGAAGCCATAAAAATGTGGCTGGGTGGGAGAGGGTCAGGTGAGGTCACTCAACCCCTGACAGGTCCATCCCTTCCTCTTTACCAGCTCAGACTTGGCCTTGACCCTGACCCTGACCCTGACCCAGCCCTCTGGTGCAGCCTATGGATACAGGATAAGCTCATTCCTGACAACTTACTCTTTTCTGCCCTCAGAGAGCTGCGGCCATAGGCATCACCCAAGTGGTTATTTCTCGGATCACCATGGCAGCCCCTGGCATGAGTAAGATGGGGAAGCCCTCTCATCCTGGGGGACCCTGGAACAAGTGATGGAGACCTCAGCCACACTTCGGGTGGGGGGTGGGACCTCAGCCTCTATAGATATGCTTCTCAAACTGGTTTGCTTGAGTGCCAAGAGCCACGGGAGAGCCACACTGTAATTCCTGGAATGTCAGTTAATCAGAGATTTGGTGGAGAAAGTTATTTTCATTTAACAAATATTCCTTAAGTTCCTTCAGTGTGCTGGACACAGTGTGGGGTGCTGGGGAGACAGTGGTAGAGAAAAATAAGTCCCCTGCCCTGGTTTTGCTGTCAGCAGGGGCATGTTACAGAGCAGGATACAAAACTTGCTTCAAAGATAGTTCTGAGAAGGGTGCTCTGGGCCTGTGGTACTTGTCCTCCTGTTGTTATAGGTGTGCAGGTTGAGGAGTTTGGGACGCACCTTCTGTCAGGACTTGGGGGAGGGGTGGGGCATGGCCATGCCTACAGTCTTCCATTCTTCTCCCAAATGAAAAGTATTTTCTGGAACTTCTGGGGAAGGAGGGGGAATCACTCAGTCTGTGATCCGACTTCGGAAAGGGATCTGGGGGGGAGTCTCACAGCCTTTCCTCTGGTTTCTTCCAGTCCTGCTGCCGGTCGTCATGGAAAGGCTGGAGAAACTGCGCTGCATGAAGGTGAGCGGATTCTCCTTTGCATCTTCCCTGCCCAGAACACATACGTGCTGGGGGCTCCTGACCGTCTTACCCTTCCTTCTTGCTCCCACCCTGCACCTCATTCAAGTAGGGCCCATCCCGGTGCCCGCTGGCTGCCCAGTTCTCAGCCTTGTCTGCCGAGAGCAAGGAGAGCCCCCTCCCCACCCTGCAGAACCAGGGTTTCCCGCCTGCGGGTTTCTAGCTGGGTGACCGGCGTGGGTTTCACCTCGAAGTATGTAAGTCCCACGTGGGTCTCTCTTTTGTCCGTTTCTGTGCAGAGAATCCGGGTGCTGCACGCCCCATTGCAGGTTCTGTTGTCCGGGTGTTTGTGAGTTATCATATTTTCTCGGTTTGGGGTTCTATGGTGGGTGTTTGTGAGTATCATATTTTCTCGGTTTGGGGTGCTCAAGATCTGTCTTCTTGTGTCAGCCATGTTGGAAAACATGTACTCCTTTACCTGACTTCAAAAGCGCCCGGGCTTTAATATCTGTGGCCCCTCTGGTGTGCTCTCACTCCTCCTTTCTGAGGGCGCCAGGCTGGCACTGTGCACACACTGGAGTGGAAAGTGGAACCCTTGGGGGTCCTCTGTCCCAGGGTCTCCCCTCTGACCTTAGGTCTTCAGTAGTTTTAGAGAAGAGACAAAAATGATGAGATCATCCCACCACAAAAACGAAATGAATCATGTGATGTGATAGAGGGGTTAGCTCACGCCAGTGGTAAACTTACACAGTGTTACATGTCAGTTATATCTCAATACATCCAAAAAGATGAGCCATTGAAAATGACAGCACAGCCTGGGCCCGTCAAGTGTCCCAGCCTCGCACGGGAGGAAAGCACCATGAGTCCTGGCAGCATTCTTAGGTGCCTGCCCTTGACTGGACATGTCCCAGCATTACTCATGCTTTGTGAGGCCATGAGGCTAATGACAGCAACCAAAGCTAACATGCATTGGATGTTTTCTGTGTGCCGCCACTGTGTTGATGTTTCATGTCTATATTTTCACCTAATTCCCTCAGCCCTCGAGGTGTACATACTGTCATTATCTCCTTTCCCAGATGAAGAAACTTGCCCACGTGTCTCTAGCTGGTAATTGCTGGAGCTGCAGTTGGATCCTTAGCAGGTCTAACATTATGCCAGGCTGTCTTCTGCTGACTGATTTCCCACTGAGGGAGCAGTTACCATGGGCTGGATGTGTCACACATGTTATCTCATTTAATCCTCACAGTAACTGTGCAGAGTAGGTACCCCTCTGCCGTCTCAGAGGGAACTTGCCCAAGATTGCACGGCTAGGAAGTGGCAGAGCTGGGACACGAACCTAGGTCTGTTAGATTCCCAAATCCTGTAAAACATGGTCCTGGATCCGCATCCTCTGAGAACTTATGAGAAATAAAGACTCTCAAGCCCTTTCCCAGACCTACTGAATTAGCATCACATTTGAACAAGCTCCTCGAGTTCCTTGCATGCCCAGTGAAGTTTGAGGAGCTCTGCCCTCACTGTTCTCCAACAGCTCGGGCATTCAGTGAGTACAGGAGCAGGACCCTGTGTTCACGCCCCTCGCTGCTTTCCCTATACATCAGGAATTGCCTGTGGTCATTAGGGCTGCTGCCCACACTCCCTGGTGACTCCATTACTTTCTTCATCTGCTTGAGTGTTGGGTGGGTGGGGTGTGAGGGGGGGTGTAGTGGGGACTGATTCTATCCTGTGCTAGAGTGAGTCTCCAGGCACCAAGAGACCAGGAGAAGGGTTGGAGGGAGAGGAGCTTTGGCGCTGGCTCCCCCTTCCTTTGAGGGGCTCAGCGATGGGGTGTGGGTGGCTCTGTGAGATGCCAGACACCCCCTAATGCTTTGGTTTCTCCTTTCTTCCAGCCTCATCTTCATGGTGCCAGTGGCATGTGGGCTGTTCCCGCAGAAATGGTATCAGCTGTTCATTCCTCACTTGGTTTTACTGAGCACCCTGTCCCTGGTCTCCCTGACCTGCCTGGTGTCCCGAAGGAGAGAGGGAGGGGCAGGCAGGGAGGCATCTGTCCAAGGACAAGTACCTCTCAGTCTAACCTCTGGGCCTCTTGACCCCAGGTGAATGGTAAACTGAAACAGAGCTCCAAGGGGCAGAGGGATGAGTTGCTCACTCCTGGTGGAGCAAAGGCTGCCTTGGAGAGAAGGTGGGGGAACAATAAGAGACTTTCTGCCCCTGCTGGTTGAGTTACTAGATCCATCTCTCTGGCTGGATCTGGTCTTTGAAATTGAACAAGAGGGTAGGTACTCACTCTGGCTGATGTTTGCCAGAGGGTGGACGGCTTCGACCTCTCCGCTTCCCTTGCTTGTCCTGGCGGGGTGGGTGCAGAGAGCAGAGGAGGTGGGTGAGGAGAGATGATGGCAAAGGGAAGGTAAGCATCAGACTGGGGTGGTGGTGGTGAGGCGGAGTACTAGCTCCAGGAGACCAGGCATAGCTTGAATAGATATGGAGAAGATGCCCGTTTCCCTTTCCCTAGTACTCTCAGCTCCGTAGTCACCTGCTACACATCTCCTGTGTTCTGAGCACCGAGCTTGTAATCTTGAAGAAGACGGAAGTTTAGCACCAGGGAGATGAAGTCAGGGCTCAATAGAAGTAAAAGCAACATACTGTAGTGTACGGAGGTCATTAATAATTCTGATGGAAAATGGGCAAGGGCTTCTTAGAGGTGGCATCTGAGTTGGATTTTATCTGAGGGTAATTTGCTGCTCGTCCAGGTGGCACACTTATAAGCCCCTTCTCTCTTCTCAGTGAATTGCCAGTTTCCTATCTGGAACCAGAGCTCCAAGACACTATCAAGGCCAAGTATGGAGAACCTGTGCCTTATGTCTACTTCAATAAGGGTCTCTAAATGCCCCACCCCAGCAAGGAACAGTCCATACCCATGTTTACCAGCTCCTCCTTAGCCACTGTGGATTCCCGTGCCTCATTCCTCTTTGCCAACAGGGCCTGTAGGCCAGGGTGGATTCTGGGGGACGGGAGGATGCCTCCTGCTTCTACCCAGGCACCTGGGTTTATTGGACTCCGGGGGATAAACGTGAACAGGGGGAGAGAGGCCAAGTCTTCTGTCTGCTCTCCCCTAACCCCTGTCCCCTGGAGACCAGGAGCTGAGACCCTCCTCAGGGAGAAGGTGCTGAGACCTGGGGGTGACACTCAAGCAAACCGTTTGGAAAAGTTAGGAAACCTTCAGGATTCCGGTTCCAGCCAGGATTGAGGAAGGGCCCCTCTTCTCTTCCTCCTCATCGGCTCTCAGGCAAGGGAACCTTTCACCTGTGTAGTTCTGGCTCCTTCAGGAAGGGGGAGGGAAGAGGCCAGGTCACCTCGGGGCTCCTCTTTGCTCTTCCCCACTCCCCTCCCCAGGGCCCCCTGGTCAGAAAGGTTCTCTAGGAGTCTTGCTAAACTTGAGTTTATCAGGCACCCAGGAGTTTTAATGAAAAAAAAAAAAGGACATTGTGTGAGGCAGCAGAGTTTTGTGGTGCTTCAAGCCCTACCTGTTGACACTGGCTTTGTTCTCCGCCCCTAAAATCATATCCGATTCTATTTCTCTGGGTCTAAAAGATAAATCCACTGACCGAGTAAAAAGGATGTAGGTAGGCATTAACTGCACATGTTAGTGGGTATAATTTCCTGGCTACCTCCCTTCCTCAGCCCGTTGGGTTAAACACCAAAGAAAGACTGGTGTGTACTGAATAGGAAAGGGAAGTTTTATTTGGATGCCTCTGAGAGGAAATCAACCAGGACCAAAGAGCCTTAAAGGACACACAGCAAAGCGCAGCCGCTCGTGCTTCCCAGCCTGGCTGCTCTGGGTGATTTCTCAGGCCCTTGGGGGAGAGGGGGCTGTTGTGGCTGACCTGGGGCCATGTCTGTATGAGTTTTGTGTAGTAGAATTTACTGACTGATCAAAGGATATCACTGTGAATCGAATGCATTTCTTGAAAGAGCACAGCGAACTGTCTGCACACTGAGTTAATAAAGCCTGGATGGAAAGCAGGATCTGGTTTTACTTTGGCCTTGGCGTGGAGGAGGGTATCACAACTATAAGGGGAACCTGTCTGGTGCCCCGAGGCCATTGTGCATCTCCCTTATTATGGAGGAAAAATCCACCGGTCTTTGCTTGAGGCTCCAGAGATCTCCCAGTGTGGGAGTGTGTTGCTCGGGGGGAGGGGGGGCAGGGAGCTGGCAAACCATGGCTCAAGGGTCCAAATCTGCCTGGTATCTGTTTTTGTGTGTTTGGGAACTGAGAATGGCCCTTACATTTTTTAGAAGTTGTGAAAAAGAAAAAGAATATGTGAGACCCTGTGTATGTGGTATGCAGAGCCTGAAATGTTTACTGTCTGGCCCTTTACACAAAGAGTTTCCCCTACTCTGGAGTAATGGTCCTTAAGAACATGCATGAGGTTCGCCTGGAAGGCTTCTCAAAACATGGATTATAGGGCCCCATTCCTAGAATTTCTAATTATGTGGGTCTGGGATGGAGCCGGTGAATTTGTATTTCTGGTAATTTCCCAGTGATGTTGATTCTGTCAGTCTGGGGACCACTTTGAAGGACCACTGCTCTAAAGAGGAAGGGCCTCCTCCCTGAGGTCAGGTTACTGGCTGCAATTTGATTTTTCCCCCATTTAAAAAAATTAAAATATAATTCACGTGACATAAAATTCATCCTTTTAAAGTGTACAATTCAGTGGTTTTTAGCATGCTCACAGTGTTGTGCAACTGTCATTACTCTCTAATTCCAGAATATTTTCATTACCCCTGAAAGAAACTCTGTACTCATTAGTAGTCACTCATTACCCTCATCCCCCAGCCCCTTGCAACCCCTAATTTATCTTCTGTCTCTATGGATTTACCTATTCTGGACATTTCATATAGATGGAATCACACAGTATGTGGCCTTCCGTGTCTGACTTTTTTCACTTAGCATAATATTTTCAAAGTTCATCTATTCTGTAACATGTACAATTTAATTTTGGCTGATGTCTGAGCAGAAAAGTCTGTGTCTTGGAGCTGGCTTCCTTAGGACAGGAGATCTGCCTTAAGCTTTGCTCATTTCCAAAGGCAAATAGGAAAAACATTACCAGAGCTAGCCAGAGCTTGGAAGCAATTCTGAACTGATGTTCTCTCAAGAATCCACAATCTTCTCCTTTCTTTCCCAGCTCCTTAAGCCTCCTGGCATTCCTCCTCTCTTTATAGACAATTACTCTTTTGGAAAAGTCTGGAGTAGATAGTGGTTGCAGTTCAGAGGCAGATTAAAAATAGTTCACTCAAACCGCATCTCAGCTCTATCTTGTAAGGCCTCTCTGCTTTCTTTGATTTGGCTCCTGCGGGATATGGAAAGAAGTGATTAGGGTGACGAAAATGCCTTGGTGTTGAGAAGTGCTAATCCAGACTGAGGAGAGTGTAGTGTTTGTCCTGTCCAGTAGCTCAGTTCAAGCCCTCAGGTAAAGGGAGAAAAGGAAGTCAGGACAAAATTCCCTTCTGTTTTCCAAATTGAAACCATTGGGGTTTCCTAATGATGATGATACCTGGCTTTTTTTTTTTCATTTATTGGAGTATAGTTGATTTACATAGTGGGATTAGTTTCAGGTGTACAGCAAAGTGCATCAGTTTTATATATACATACATCCACTCTTTTTTTAGGTTCTTTTCCCATATAGGCCGTTACAGAGTATTGAGTAGAGTTCCCTGTGCTATACAGTAGGTTCTTATTAGTTATCTATTTTATATATAGTAGTGTGTATATGTCAATCCCAATCTCCCAATTTATCCCTCCCCACCCCTTATCCCCTGGTAACCATAAGTTTGTTTTCTACATCTGTGACTTGACTTCTGTTTTGTACCCTTCTGTTCATTTGTACTCTTTTTTTTAGATTCCACAAATAAGCGATGTCACATGGTATTTTTTTTTCTTTCTTCTTTTTTTTTTTTTTTTTTGAGTGGCTTGAACAAGAGACATGTATTTTCTCATGTGCTATAAGTCCATAATCAAGGTTCCAGCAAATCTGGTTTCTGGTGAGGGCTCTCTTCCTAGTTTTTGTCCCAGAAATCACTGAGGTATAGTAAAGTTCTTCAATCTTTTTATTTTTTCTTTCTGTTCTTCAAAGTAAATCAATTTAAATAATCTACCTTCAAATTCATTAACTTTTTTTTCTTATTTTCATTCTTGTGTTAAACCCATCAGAACTTCTTTTTTTTTTTTGTATCAGCTATTGTACTTTCAGTTCCACAACTTCTAATGATTTTTTGGTTGTTTTAGTTTTCCTTTGTCTGCTGAGATTCCTCAAATGTTTTCTTATTATATCTATCTTGTCCTTCAAGATTCATACATACTTTCAATAGCTGACAAAGTTTTTCTTTGCTATTTATTTATCTAAATCATCTTGGTGTCAGTTATGTTTACTAATTTTTCCTGATTATAATATTTTCCTGATTCTGTACATATCTAGTAATTTTTTACTGTCTGCTTGACATTATGTATGTTAACTTGAAGGCTATTTGGATTATGTTGCCTTCCATTAAAGGGTATTAAATTTTTATGTCATATGGTATTTGTCTTTCCATATCTGACTTACTTCACTCAGTATGACAATCTCTAGGTCCATCCATGTTTCTGCAAATGGCATTATTTTGTTCTTTTTCATGGCTGAGTAATATTCCATTATATATATATGTATATATATATATATATATATATATCACGTCTTCTTTATGCATTCCTCTGTTGATGGACATTTAGGTTGCTTCCATGTCCTGGCTATTGTAAATAGTGCTGCAGTGAACACTGGGGTGCATGTATCTTTTCGAATTATGGTTTTTGGGTATGTGCCCAGTAATGGGATTGCTGGGTCATATGGTAGTTCTATTTTTAGTTTTCTAAGGAACCTCACTACTGTTCTCCATAGTGACTGTACCAATTTACATTCCCACCAACAGTGTAGGAGGGTTCCCTTTTCTCCACACCCTCTCCAGCATTTATAGTTTGTAGATTTTTTTTTTTTGCAGTACGCGGGCCTCTCACTGTTGTGGCCTTTCCCGTTGCGGAGCACAGGCTCCGGACGCCCAGGCTCAGCAGCCATGGCTCACGGGCCCAGCCGCTCCGTGGCATGTGGGATCTTCCCGGACCGGGGCACAAACCCGTGTCCCCTGCATCGGCAGGCGGACTCTCAACCACTGCGCCACCAGGGAAGCCCTAGTTTGTAGATTTTTTGATGACGGCCATTCTGACCGGTCTGAGGTGATCCCTCATTGTAGTTTTGATTTGCATTTCTCTAATAATTAATGATGTTGAGCATCTTTTCATGTGCTTTTTGGCTATCTGTGATACCTGGCTTTTATATAGAGGACTTACAACTCCTTGAGGCTGGGATTGAGACTCTGTGCTAAGAAAATAATGTGGCCCCTGCCTGGTACTCAATCTTTTATTCTCCCCTAGGGAGCTTGATTGTGGAATGGATGAAATTCTAAGAAATTTAAGACTGGCAAAAATACTTGTCACCCTGTGTAGTACTTGGGAAAGCAGGATCAAGACAGAGACAGAACCGATTTTTTTCACTCTTACCTGTTTCCCACTTTGCCACCATTTAAACCAAGAACAAACTTCCTTTGGGTTCAGCTATGGGCTAGACTGGGCTCGGCTCTAAAATGCTTTGGTAGGTTTTTGAGGGGAAATTGGCAGCTACAGGCAGCTGGCTTTTCTGCTGCGGTTCTTCATCTGTTCGTTTATTTTCCCAATATTGATTGAGCTCATGGTTGGGCTATGTACAGGGTGTAGGGGTTTGTTTAAAAAATGAATAAGACCTGGTGTGCCATACAAAAAGCTAAAAATTTAGTCGGAGGGGTCAGGCAGGCAGAAATTGTAGATTAGATACACTGTGTAATAAGTGTTATGTGAATTCAGAAGAAGAAACCAGGGGATGAGAACTAGGAATCTTAAATGGGAAACTGTATGTGTAATGTGTAAATGAAGTTAAATGTATTGTATAGCACAGTTCATTGGGGATCTCTTAACTGTTGGGTGTGAGCAGAATGTATGGGAAATGTAGTGGCAGTAGATGAGATAAAGAAGTATGCAGGTGTGAAAAAAAAATACGCAGGGACGAGGACACAGAAAGGACCACCATATTGATAAGTTTGGACACTAAATCCTGTAGGTAGTTGAAGTATTTTGAGAGGGGAAGCCCTGAGACGATAATATTTGGTTTTAGGTGGTAGAACACCCCTGCTGTGACATGTGAGAGAAATTCAAGAGGGAAGAATTAGCAACTGGCAGGACAGCAGGGAGACCGTTTGTATTTAGCCAGAAAATGAGAACATGGATTGAAGCAGTGGGGGTGGATTTCAGAGCTATTTCTGAGGAAGAGTCAGTAGAATTTCATCCCTTGAACTTGGGGTGACAAAGCACTGTGCCTCAGGTAAAGATATTATCTCATAGGAATTCAAAGTGACCGAAGATACTGCTTGAGCAGTTTGAGAGCAAGAGAGGGACTCTGGTACTGGGGCTGTGCTTAAAGACAAAAGACATCATAAGCTTTTTAGATTGCAGTTGTCTTTTTTGTTTTTCCTTTTTCCTTTTTGGCCGTGCCACCCACACAGGACGTGGGATCCTAGGTCCCTGACCAGGGACCAAACTGGGCCCCCTGCATAGGCAGCGTGGAGTTGTAACCACTGGACCACCAGGGAAGTCTCTGCAGTTGTCTTTTTTAAGGGTGCCAGGTTACTTTATAAAAGTAATTTATTTTCCAACACCCTTTGGAATTATCATACCCCTTTCTTTTTCTTTGCTAAACTGTGGAAATCCAGTACTTCCGCCACATTCAAGATGGTGGCACCAGAATTAGACTTTTCAACTCACGTCTTGGATGGCCCCGCCGCTGATCAGAGCTACTTCCGCCACTCTCTGCGCAGCGGGACGCATTTACGCCGTCTCGTAGCACTCAAGATGGCCCGGGTTCCTCCTACTTTCCATTGGCTGGGTTTCTCCCGTTTTCCGTCTCCGCGAGGGGGCGGGACTTCTATTTGATCGACAGCTGTTTTGACCAATGGACGAAGGGAAACGCCCAATGAAGCGCTGGAATTGGAGGACCATCCAAGTGTCTGGGAGGGCGTTTGGCCTGGGGCGGGGTGGAGCGGAGCCGGAAGCGGGAGGGGAGAGTGAAACAGGAAAAGAAGGGAAGAAGGAAGAAGAGAGAAGAGGAGGAGAGGGAGGAGGAGGAGGGAGGTGGCGGCGCCGTGGCGGAGGAGCAGGAGCAGGAGGGGGATGGAGAGGAGAAGGCTCCTGGGTGGCATGGCGCTCCTGCTCCTCCAGGCGCTGCCCAGCCCCCTGTCAGCCAGGGCTGAACCCCCGCAGGTAAGGGGGAGGGGGTGTCCGGGCCAGGCTGGGGCCTGGGGGGCGTCGAGGCCTGGCTGGAGGGGGCTGAAGGAATGTTGTTGCCACGAGTTGAGGGGTCCCGAGAGGGGCACCCATGCCTGGAGTGGACAGGATCTAAGGGGGCGTCGGTGTTTAGCTGAGGGACACCTGTGACGGTTTTGGTATCACGGAAGGTGGCAGAGGCATGGTGCCAAGCGAGTGAGGGGCCTTTGAGACGGCAGTTAGGTCAGGTGGGCTGGCATGACTGTGACTGGATAGTGGCGCAAGCGGGGTCATGTGGGGCGCATTCGTGTCCTCCAGTGGAGCAGGTCTCCAAAGCAGCGATGCCGCGTGTATGTCTGTGCGGGTAGGGGTACGTGGGTTATTGAGCGGGCCTGAGAGGGAGGAGGGGCTGGCTGAGAGGATATCTATTTCAAGCTGGACCTCGGAAAGTTCTAGGGGCCACTTGGCCCCATTTTTACTGGTGTTGGAGGCAGGACTCTTGGAAGGCAAGTGAGATGAAGCAGACTGGGACCTCTCAGCAGCAGGGCACACTTGAGCTGTAACAAGCTCTTACTATCAGGTTGGCTGGCCTGGGGAGCCGGTCACTGATGCTGATCTGGGCCAGCTCCGGGTTTTGAGCAAAGGGTGGTGCTGATGCCAATACGGGCAACAAATGGAGCACCTCAGCTTTTCTTGCTAAGTGGCTTGTGCTGATTTTAGCGCCGCTGGCATTTCGAAACCCAAATGGGAGCGTTACTCCTGGCGCCAGGTTGGGTGGGGTGCAGTAGGGGGAATCACCCCTCCTTCCCTTCCTTGCATTTGGCAAGGCTTTACCATTCTATTTTCTTCAGTTTCTGTTCCCTTCTGTGTCTTTTCAGAAGGGCATATACAGACACACACAGAGCAAAATGGCAGACTCTATACAGCTTAGCACTTGAACTTTGTGTTGTGGTCAAGAGTAGAAGCAGAATGCCAGCAAAAAGCCTTATCTTTTTTCCTAGGAGCATCATGTTATGCCCATTAGCATCCTCTATTTAAAACATTAATTTTTCAAGTGAGATGAACTTTATATAACATAAACTGTTTAAAACCGTTTAACCATTTTAAATTGAACAGTTCAGTGGTGTTTAGTGCATTCGCAATATTGAGCAACCACCGCCTCTGTCTAGTTCCAAAACATTTTATCACCTGGGGAGAAAACCCTGTACAAGCAGTTCCTCCCTGTTCCCCCTTCCCCCAGCCCTTGGCAACCACCAGTCTGCTTTACATGTCTATGGATTTGTCTATTCAGGATATTTCATATAAATGGAATCTTACAATACCTTTTGTATCTGGTTTTTTTTTTTTAACCTTTTGTATCTGGTGTCTCTCCCTTAGCATAATGTTCTCAAGGTTTATCCATGTTGTAGCATGTAATTCATTCCTTTTTATGGCTGAATAATACTCCGTTGTGTTCCATAATTTGTTTATTCATTTATCTGTGGACGTATCATCTGCTTTTCCCAAAGACTATATTTATGTATATTGGAAATAACATGTGAAAGGAATAGAGCTCATTTTCTGTCCCAGTACATTCCTTTTTCAAGGGCTGGGGCTCTTCTGTTTTAGGCTTTGTTGGGGTTCTTTGTTTTCTCAGTTAAAATCATGAAGTGGCAAGAGAAATAAATTTCCTTTATTAGAAAAGTTACAAAGCTAAGAAATATAGATGTTGAGCGAATAAAATATAGAACAAACTGTTGCTTTTCCTTTGCACCTGTGCCTTTCTGTAAGTATCTTTAAAGGCTGTTTCCAATAACCAATAATTAACATTGGGGTTGATTTAGGAACGGTGCAGGCTTTGGAGCCTTTTGAGGTGGATGCCCTGGGCCTGTGGATTACATCTCCTCATTGGAGAGCCGTGGTTGGAATCTGGTGGGAACCAGATCCATTTCTTTAGCAGGAAGAAGGATGGAAAGTGGAGGTTCCTTCCCAGGTCCTGGAAGCCTGGGACGGGGAGAGAAGGTTTGGGAGGGGATCTTCAGTGTCATGCCCTAATTGCAGCTTGTGGATCACAGACCGTTTTATCATTTCTCTGGCACTTCCGATACTTACTTGGGGGACAGGGTGGCTTTTGTACTTTGTTCCATTTGAATGGATGCTAGCACTGGCCAGCAGCTATTATGTGGTTACAGTTCCTGCAGAGAAGGGAAAGTTTTTGAAATGAGTAGGCTCTCTCCTTCTGACCCCTTCCCCCTAACACTCCTAACCCCATCTCATAGCCTTTCTCTTTCTGTAGCCGAGTTCTCAGTATCTATAGTGAGAATTGTGTTTTGAATTTTAACCTTTGGAATGGAAGTTACTCTATAATTATTAACTGAATCCGCCACAATTTAGTCAATTTAGTTTTTGTTTTGGTTTGGTTTTTGTTGATTTTTGGCTTGCAGAAATCAGTGAAGAAAAAAAAGTTTAGAGACCATTTTGGCTTAGGATGTACTTCAGGTACTCACTGTCCGTATTTCAACAAGTGGCTTCTAGCTAGCTCCGAATTGAGGAGGACTCTGTACTCCATCTGTATTGAAAATTGTATGGGTACCTCACTGCATTTTTTCCCTTGAAATGTCTCTAGCAAGTACAGTCTTTTTTTTTTTTTAATTAAAGTATAGTTAATTTACAATGTGTTAATTTCTGGTGTACAGCAAAGTGATTCAGTTTTATATATTTGTATATATGTATGTATGTACATATATTTTTCATAATACAATCTTTTTTTTACACATGCATTTAATATCAAATATATGATATTAGGCAGCTTGCTTTCCCTGGTTCCAGCTCTGCACTGGAACAGTCATTTCTTGCCATCCTGGCCCAAATAAGTTCATCAGTTTAACTCCATTCTGTGATTAGGAACTTAGAGTTAATTCTCCTATAGGCATTGCAACTCAGATGTGATTCCTTGAATCCATAGAGAATAAAAAAGCAATAGAGTCTCCAAACAGTAAGGCCTTGGCATTTGTCTCTTCCAGTTAAATTATGATGGAGATATGCGGAGTTTCTTTCTCTTGTTGGTTAGATTCAACCAGAAAAATCTGACTGTAGTATTTAAAGTAAAGTTTTAGGAGAAATGTCTTTTTCAATAAAGTGATCCAGCCGATGGGCTGGGCACAAATCTGTAGAGATGCAGTCCTTGCCCTTCCGCTTCCATGCTTAAAACTTTGAGTTGGAAGGGGGCCCTTTCTTCCCCCCCCCACACCCTCCAATAGTATACCCCTTCCGCCCCACCTTTACTCACCTCCATTGCCCCAGTTTTCAGTCCAGAAGCCCTGCTCCACTCTTCTTTCCTAAATATGGCATTTCAGTGCGACCACCCTCATTCCTTGTAGAATAGTGGGATATGAGACTTTCAGATTCTTACCCTCTTTCTTTCACTTTCTTAGTCTGTTTTATACACCAGAGTGAGCAATTGTCTAAAGTTAACACCATGAGTTGCTGTAAATCCTTTGAGTAGAATCCAACAAACATTTACCAAAATGTTCATTCTTTGCAGCAGGCTATTATTATTCCTAGGCACTGGGAACCCTCAAACAAGTAGCAGAATCCCTGTCCTCAAGGAGCTAATAATCCTGTGGGAAAGACAGATAATATCCACTGATATGTAATCTGGAGGGATCAGCGCTGTAATGGAAGTGCAAGCAAAGGACGGTGGGAACAAGGCTAGGGCTGGGGGATTTAGGGAAGGTTTCATAGAGGGAGAGGCATTTGGACAGGGCTTTCAGGGTTGATAAGGATAGGTAGGATGTCTGTGGACTAGGAAGGGGGAAAGTTTATTCCGGCATGAAAGAGTGAAAATGGAGCTTTTAGAAGTGACACATAGTCTGTGGTGGAAGCTTTGCCTGTGGGTGTGCAGAGGACTGTGAGAATAGCTTGAGACTTGAAAGGTGAGCTGCAATTAGATGATAAGGAGGGCTTTTATCCATTTGTTGAAATTCTACTGCTGACAGTAGAACTTTCTGTGATGTTGGAAATCATCTATATCTATGCTGTCCATTTTGTAGCCACGTAGCCACACGTGGCTATTGAGTCCTTAAAATGTGGCTAGGGTAACTAAGGAACCGAATTTTTAAATAAATAATTTTTGGCTGCGTCAGGTCTTATTGCAACATGCAGGATCTTTTGTTGTGGTGCTGGGCTCTTCCTTGCTGCACGTGGGCTTCTCTCTAGTTGTGGTGTGTGGGCTCAGTAGTAGCCCCTCGGCATGTGGGATCTTAGTTCCCCGACCAGGGATTGAACCCACGTCCCCTGCATTGGAAGGCGGATTCTTAACCACTGGACCACCAGGGAAGTCCCGGAACTGAATTTTTAATGGCATTTAATTTTTTGTATCAACTTTATTGAGTTATAATTCACATGCCAAAAGATTCATCCTCTTAAAGTGTACAGAAAATGTTTTTTTAGTGAGTCAGAGGGTTGTGTGACCATCACCACTATCTGATTTTAGAACATTTTCATCACCCCACAAAGAAACCCCATAGCCATTAGCAGCCCATTACACCCCCTCCTCCCCCAGCCCCTACAATCACTAATCTACTTTCTGTCTCTTTGGATTTGCCCATTCTGGACATTCTGTATAAATGGAATCATACACCATGTGGTCCTTTGTAACTGGCTTCTTTCACTTAGCATAATGTTTTCAAGATTCTTCCATGTTGATGTATTTGTGTATCATCGCATGTATCAGTATTTCATTCCTTTTTATGGCCGATTAATATTCAGTTGCATGAATGTACCACATTTTATTTGTCCATTCATCAGCTGATGGACATTTGAGCTGTGTTCCCTTTTGGGCTCTTGTGAATAATGCTGCTATGGACATGTGTGTACAAGTTTTTGTGTACACATGTATGTTTTCGTTTCTCTTGGATATATACCTAATGGTGGAATTGCTGGGTCATATGATAACTCTATGTGTAACCTTTTGAGGAACTGCCAGACTGTTTTCCAAAGTGATATGATATTCGGTT